TTCTTCGAAATAATATTTTTTTAAAAGTTGCCTTATTGTGGAGCGGGAATCTGAAATACCCAAATGCCTGTTTTCCTCGGTGGAGTCCACTCAGAGCTCTCACCTTCTCTGGATGTGCCTGGGCTGGATTGACTAGACTCTTCCTCTGGACTGAATTGCATGTACAGTGCCTCCTGCCTTGGAGGCAAGAGAGTTGGGGTGGCTCGGATGAGAGCCATGCCCGAATATCCCTGCTGTTGCATCGTTTGAAGCTGATGTCCTGTGTCTACACTGCTGCCACTGTCGTGTCCTCGCTCTGCTTGCTGTTGCCTCACACTAGGCCCTGTCCCTGCTGTGATACCCTTCATCCTACCCTTGGAACCCCAAGGCCAAGTTTGCTTCAAACTGTTGGAGAAGAACGTTGGCCTGGATCTGGGACAAACACGTCCTCAGCTTGACCATCTCCCCACTTCAGAGGGGAAAGGTGAACACCTGGCAGCTGAGGCTTGGAAGTGTTTCTTATGTTGAGACTTCAAGGAGGCTTTGTCTCAAAAGGTGGAGAAAAATGCCGTTCTCCTCCCTTGGGTCTGGTGGGGTCTCCCCGTCTTCCGTTCCCCTCTGCAAGCCATCTCTGCCCAGCCTCCAATCGACCCTGCCTGGGAACAGGGGACGAGGAGGAGTTGAAGGCTGGCGAGAACCCTGCCAGTTGGAGAAGCCCCATGGCAGGAAGGTATATGTGGACATAGAGTATACCTGACTTCTCCGGCCACTGACTGCGTGGGTTGGGCTGTGAAGCAATGGAATGGCTGGAGTCTACAGGCACTGGGAGGTGGAAGGTGGGGGTGAGGAAGGACTGACCCACACAGACTGGACTGGGTGTGGGATGACAGTGCATCCACCCCCAGTGGGGACCAGGCAGCACTGAAAAGTTTGTGGTAATTTGCTCAGTTGCTGATACTTTGACCCTTTTTTCCAACTCCCTCTGTTGGGCCCAAAGGTTGGGAGTAGGGGGCAGTACCCCAGGGCTTGCCTCTGTCTTGGGCACGTCGTTGCTTTTGGCCTGCCCCCTCTTCTCTGCCCTCCCAGTGGTCGGTATGTTGGGAAACCCATCTCAGTTCCTGTGACCCAGTTGTCTCCAAAGCCACGGATGAGTGTCTGATCTCTGCTCTGACGGCGGGATCTGCAGCCTTCCCTGCCCTGTCCGGTGCCCGCCCTGTGTTGTACCAGACACGACGTCTGCACCCTGCCACCTCTGCTGTATCTCCCTTTGCTTCAGATTGCGCAGCCCTGTACTGTATCCGGCACCACAGAAACCTCAGTGTTTGTCCTCTGCTGGGTTTGGGGCACAAGGAGGTGTGGGGTGTGGGGACAGGCTGTTCTGATAGTTTATTCCCAGGCCAGGGGCTGCCATCTTCTCCTGATCCCTCCCCATGGACACCCCAGAAAGAGGAAGCCCCTTTGAGGTGAGGACTTCATCTCAACCAACGTAGGCTGAGGATGGGGAGAAAGGAGACTTTTTTCTTTTTCCTTTTTTTTTCCTTTTTTTTTTTTTTTTTTTTTTTTGTAACATATTAGGAGTTGATGTTGCAAAGAGTAGTTTACATCTTCACTTTCTGAAGACACTTGAATTTAGGACCGACGTATCTGTGACAAGCATGCCAGGAGTGGCAGGGGCCATCAGGGCTTGCCACTTCACACCCACCATCCTCTCATGGGGATCCAAGATCTGAGACACAAAGCAACAGCCTGCCCAGATCCTTCTGTTCATCCTGTATCCTCCCAGGATTGGTCCATGCCAACACACCCTTTGTGTGTCAGCCCTGCTCGGGGCAGGTTCTCACCCTCTCCTGAACCTGGGTACAGGTGCACTACCAGCAGAGTGGGACTGCCAGCCGAGCCCCAGCCTGGACGCGGGCTCAGATCAAGATGCTGAGCCCCATGTCAAAGTTGTGTTCTGTTTTGTTCATTTGTAGCTTCCCTTCCCCCTTTCCTGGCAATTGATTTTGGAAAAGAAAGTAAGCTGCTCAGAAGGCCCTAGAAATGGGGAAAGGGGCAAGGAAGGCAACTAGGGTTGGGGTTTTTGCCAAAAGCCTGGGTAGAGCAGTCTGGATCATCTGGTGTCCTCCTGAGTGGGACCCTGTAGTGCCTCCTGTGTGGAGGGCCCCTGGACTGGCCCCAGCCCCACCCTCTCCTTCAGCCGTGTTGACGGTGGTGGCAGAGAGGATAGGAACTTAGAGCCCATTTCTCACTGGAGAGGAAAACGTGTCACCTGGCTTTATGGAGAAGGTTCCACCTTGTGCTCATAGTACATCATCTTTACCCTGTGCTAGGATATCACACGTAAAAGGACAAACAATGTAAAATACTTGAATGAGCTTGTATTATAACATTAATATTATTGAGAGTATCTGCTTTCCAGGCTGAAGTGATTCATTATTCTAGTCTGCTTTAGTCCTTTGTAATTTGTGGTAATTATGCTTTTCTTTTTAATACAAAAAAAATGTATAAAAATAAAAACTTGAAAAGGCACAACACTGGCTGGTCTCCCATCTGGGATACAACCGTTGGGTGTGAGGAGGGGAGCTGGTGAGGGAGAACTCTGCCTGGGACAGGGGTCCCTTAGCTTTTAAGGCAGCATGAGAGCTGCCAGTCTTGAATTCGTGTTCACCTTGTATCTTAAGATGTGGGAGCTGCACCAGTGCCATAGAGCAGACCAGCCCAACAGCCAGCCAAGTTGCCTGCACATGCTGTGGCCTGGCCCTGAGGGAAGAGCTGGCCAGGAAGGGGGGCGGTGCTGTGATTTCTCACAGGAGGGCAGGCACCGCCCCTCCCTGAACAGACTTCCCTGCTAGGGTGTCAAGTTCAACTCTGGCCTTGTGGAGTCCAGGGGAGCTGGGGAGCCTGAGGATTGATGCTAGGGGGGGACCCTCACCCCCATTGGGACTGGCCTCTGGGCTATGGGTGGCTTTCCCCCAACCCGTGAGGCTAGTCTCTGGCAGTAGTATTCTGAAAGCCAGTCGGCCTGTATGTATAATTAAAAAACTAAAACTTCTGGCTTTATTCATTTGGCAACTGTGTCCCATGCCTGGCTTTCCAGAGAATTTCACCAGCCAGCAGGTGGGCAGGGAGTAGGAGATAGTGGCCAGGGCTTATGCAAATTGATTCGGGACAGGAAGACGGTCAGCCTCACTCCCACACCTGTTAGGAATGCTTATGAAAGGCCTGGAGCTCTGAGAAGCCACGTGACCGAGAGTTGTGCAGAGGCGAGAAAATACTGCAGTGGCTGATGGAGCTAAAAGATCAGTTTATTTCCATGCTTCCTCGCACACATTTTCTGCTGCAAATTTGACACCTGAGCCTTGGCTTGAGCCATATCCGTTTACCAACCTCAGGGCCCTTTTGTTTTATGCAGAAGAGGACAGGGCTGGGCCCCCGTGCCAGGGCCCACCCGCTTGCCTGCCAAAAGGGGTGAAAGGTGGCCGTCTCTTTACCCCCTAGGTGCCCTGCTGGAACTTCCAAATCTCAAGGTCTTAAAGGGGGGAAAAATTTTCCACTCTTCCTCTTTTCTCCGTGTTCCTCATTTCCTACCCATTTTAAGGATATTGAAGGCGGGCTGTTGTACGAACGGTTACTGGTAAGACCCAGGTTGTGGGTGCAGGCTAGTGGCTGTGAGGACTTAGCTAAGGATATAGGTCACCCACCAGGTGCACCAACTCCTGAGGGGTGAGTTGGTGGGGCTTTGCCAGGCCAGGGAGGATTCTACCTGGAAAGTGCCCAGTCGGCCCACTGGGCAGGTCCTCTGGATTCCTAGTGTTGATGGGAAGAAGTACTTGATGGTTCTGCCTGGAGATTTGTTCCTATCAGATGTTAAAGTATTTTATAAAGCTACAGGGAATGGTTATCTTGACATGTGAGCAGTGAAAGTTCAGGAATAGACCCAATTATGTGGGAGAATTTGGTGGCTGACGCTGGTGCCCACTCGAATCAGAGGGGTCAGATTGTTCTTGGGAGCCCTGGGCCCCTGGCAAAGACCATGGCTGCTGAGGGCAGGACAGGGTGGGGATTGCTTCCATCCCAGCAGCTCTGGTTTTGTTTCAGATAAGCTTCCTGGTAAAATTGCATTTGAAAGGCCTCACTGCTAAAGCAACTGAGGAATCATTTTGGGGGGAAATGTGGATTTTGCCCTTTGTTCAGCCATGTGTCTCATGCCTTCTCATTGGAGAGAGAGGGTTATAGCCTCTGGCCCTGCTTCAGAGAGTCTGATTTGGCACTTCAGTCAAGTGTCCCCAAACTTTGACCCTTCCCTCTGGACTAAAGGGCCCCCAGTTTAGCAGGTCCATAGGGTTTGGCCCTTGGTTCCCAAGTTTGGCTGAAGGTACTGGCGTTCAGTCTGCACCCGTGGCGTCAGCTGTAATCCAGGGAGAAGCTTCGGTGTCATTTTTGTTTTCAGAGAGGGCTGATGTGTGTTTGCAATGGGTCAGAGGTCACTGACCCTGTTTGGGAGGGGCAATGGGGACTTGACCCCTACCACTATTGCCAGGCTGTCTGGCTCTGGCCTGAGTAGGGTATGAGAAAAGTTTTGGGGATAGGAAGGGGGGAAAGTGCTCTCTTTGGGTCTCCCTAGCCCCTGCAGAAGGGGCTCTCCGGAGCCACACGGCCTCCAATGTGGCTGCTACCTGTCACTGATTAAATCTTGCCTGCACAGAGTCATCTGGGCCCTTCTCCCCTTTCCCAGCAGAGGGCCCCTCTCCCCTTTCCCAGACTTGTCATTGTGGGGAGCGGTTTTTCCCTCTTCCGTAAGCTAACTCCTGGTCCCCTGGAGGGACAATAGGGGCAGTCAGGGGAGCCTTGACCCTGTCCTCGGCCCTGCGTTTTCTGGAAGCTGGCCTTCCCCCCGCCCTCGCGGTGCTATCTTTAGTGCGGGGCTGAAGAAGTAAGTTCCTAGGTGCAGTCAGGAGGCCTCAGGCCACCTTAGCAGTCCGCTGCTGAGGGGACGGCCAGGATGGCACTCGGGCCCTCTCTCACTCCATCTTTGGGGGGTCGGGGATGCTCTCAGAGAGTGGGGTGAAGCCTAACAGGAGGATGTGTCTCTCGTAGGCCTTGGTCTGCTTGAACACGGTGTCTGTCCCGTGCAGATGGTCCAGCACCCCCAGCACCCCGTAGCACTGGTTGAACCTGGAGGAGAGAAGAGGATGCTGGAGACCTGTGTGCTGACCTCATTGTGCCAGCCTCTCCCACATTTCTAAGCCCTCCCCTCCACCTCTCCCCTTCACGCCTACCAACCGCCTGCATCGAAAGCCCAGGGGAGATGGGGCCCACTTCTCTGGGGCCACCTAGACTGGAAATCTGTGAGCTTCCTCTGAAAAGCTCTTACTGTGACTGCTGTGCACACAAGTCAGATCCTGTGGCTGAATCAGAACCCCCTGGAATACCCTTTAAAATCAGATTTCCAAGCCCTGCTCCTCCCGCCCCCTAGATACTGATACAGCGTTTGTAGAAAGAACTGAGAGGCTCCCCGGTCACACTGGAGAAAGCCTGGAAGCTTTCAATGCACAAGTCCCCTTGAACTGCAAGCAGGGTTATGCACTTATGCATTTTTCTAACAGTGCCCTAGCTTACTTTGCATACTCAAGGTCCAGGACCTAGCTAAAGGTTAAAATCCCAGTTGCAGGAAGATCTAGTATCAGAAAGAAGGAATGAGGGTGGCCTGTGGTCCAGCGTGGTCATTCTTCTCCCCGCCTCCAGACCTCTGCCTCCACTAGCGCCACACGTAAACGGAGACACAGGTGTCTGCTAGCGGAAGTAAAGGTGGAGTTACTGACCTACAGCAGGCAAGTGACCCTTACTTGAGATGGTGATAGTCATGGAACTCGGGTGAAGGCAGGAAGGGCAGGTGGTAGCCGCAGTGGGAGATGGTGGTGATGATGAGAGTCAGGGAGAACCACACCATGATGGAGGACAAGTGGGAGCCCATGACTATGGGCCCCACCATCGCCGGCAGCATGTTGGAGACCTGCAAGAGAAGGGCTGTTGGCAGGTGGGCCCCAGAGAGGGGGAGAGGACCTTGTTGGATGTCCCCTTTGCCCCAGGGCGGTACCAGGAAGACTTCCTTGTCTCAAGTCTGGAGAATCTGAAAGTTCCAAGAGCCTGGTTTGCTGGAATCACTCACCTTTGTATCTTGGGGCAAGTTATGAATGGTTTGAGCTCCAACTTCTTCATTAGTAAAGTGAGGATTAAAAGGGTTCTTGGGAAGATTAGATGAGGTAGCCTATGATGGGCATCTAGGAGAGCCTGGCATATGCTAGGCCAACAACAGTGCTAGCTATTGAATGAATGGGGAGCGGAGGGGCCGGTGTGCTGTGGTTCTCGGCAGGAGACTTATGGAAGGTGGCAGGCCTGTGCCTCGCTTCTGGGGAGTGAGCTCCACTCACCACATGCTCGACAGGGTGGGCGTAGAGCGAGATCACGCCAATGGGAGCTGTCCACTCGTGGTGTTTCTTATGGATTTTCTTGTAGAACACTGGGTGGTGGAGGAGCCTGGAATAGAGTTAATAGTTCATAATCTGCCAATCTCCCTTCCCCGCTTTCCCACAGACCTCGAGAAACCGAGGTGTGGGCCCCAGGGGTTACATCTGCGGAGCGAGGCTGCAAACACACAGATGGGCCTTTGAGCTCTAACCCCACCTCTGAGGCTGCACAGTTTGGGAGGGAGAGACTTTGCCTCTGTATTAGCTGTAAAATGGGGATGATGGCTGAAACCGGTTTGGCTCAGTGGATAACACATCGGCCTGTGGACTGAAAGATCCCAGGTTCGATTCCAGTTAAGGGCATGTACCTTGGTTGCGGGCACATCCCCAGTAGGGGGTGTGCAGGAGGCAGCTGGTTGATGATTCTCTCTCATTGATGTTTCTAACTCCCTCTTCCTCTCTGTGAAAAATCCCTCTCTCTTCCTCTCTCTGAAAAATCAATAAAATATATTTTTTTAAAAATGGGGATGATGCCCAGAAAGGACTCACTAAGGAAGTGAATGGGAAATGCCCAGGAATGGGAGGCTTCCTTTTCTGGACATTTGTCTCGGTTGTCAGCTGTGGAACATGCCTCCCTGTTAACTGCTTCGTGGGAGGCTCTGGAGGCAGGTGGTGGGGAGAGGGGTGCCAGCCGGGCCCGCGGCCGCTCACCGGTGTGAGTAGTAGAACATGATCTCCTCGATAAGCGTGAAGATGGCCAGCTCCAGGAGAAACCAGTGGAAGGTGGGCAGCTCCCGGCGGCAGGGGTCTCTCCACAGCTTGAGGGTGGGGTAGAGGAGGACCACGATGGGGAGGGAGATGAGGAGCTGGTTGAGCAGCACCGTGCGCACAGACTTGCGCAGTTTCACGGGGTCCACCTGCCCGGGGAAGGAAGGAAGGAGGTGGGACAGTGTGAGATGTAGGATCTTTTCTTCTAGAGAAGCTCCACTGTGACCCGCTCTCAGGAAGCCCTCGTTCAGAAGTTGGTACTCGGAGTGACTGTCTGGCCATAGCTGGCAGCCCCTGACAGCTGCCCAGCTCCGGGGGACACCCTCTGGCAGTGCCTCTGCCCGCAGCCTTCAGTCTCTGCCTGAACCTGCCTTCTCCTTCCTGGTGCTGCAACTGTCACTGTGGAGCCTTCTGGCCAAGATCACTGCACCCCCACCATCCCCTTCCTCAGAGCACTGGGGGTCCCAGGAATAGCCCCATAACCACGGGCCACTTCTTGGGGTCTGACGAGCTGGAGTAGGATTGGTCGGAAGGGATTCCTCCCGAGTCCCCTCTGTAAGCTGTAGGGGCTGCTGCAGAAGGTGAGCCGGGGTTCATGGAGGTCCTCGGACTTCAGGCCTTCCCCTTCCTGCAGCTCTTCCAGGCACTACGTCATCAAGAGACGATGATCTGTGGCTATTTTAGAAGACGCAGCCTGAGGATTTAGGGTGAAATGTTATGGTGTCTGAACTTTTTCAAATGCTTAAGGCAAAAAGTTATAGAGGCACAGCTATTTACACTTTTATATATTGAAGCAACAAATGTAAAATGTTTAAAAGTGGTGAACCCAGGTGATATGTAAATGAGTGATTGTTGTACTACTTTTGTATATATGTCTGCACATGCTCATAATTACAAAATGTTGGCGGGGGGAAGAGTGGACAGAGAAGAGGTGGAAACTGTGAAGACTTTTGCTGCAAAGGAGAGCAAGCACATGAGTGGTAGTGAGTGAAGGAGACAGGGTCAAGGGTTTCTGTTTGGTTTGTGGGTGATTTTTTTTTTTTTAAATCCTCACCCAAGAATATATTTTTGTTGATTTGAGAGAGAGAGAGAGAGAGAGAGAGAGAGAGAGAGAGAGAGAGAGAGAGAGAGAGGCAGGCATTTGGTTGCCTTCCAAATGCACCCTGACTGAGGATTGAACCAGCAAACCTGGGGATGTGCCCTGATGAGGAATCGAACCTGCAACCTTTTGGTGTACAGGAGAACGCTCCAACCAACTGACCCACCCTGCCAGGGCTGGTTTAGTGTTAAGATGGAAAAAATTATAGCATGTTGATAATAATCCAGAGAGGAGTAATCTAGGAAAGTAAGGAAACTAAAGACACATGGAGCCCTGGCTGGGTAGCTGTTGGTAAGGGTGTCATCCCCATATTCCAAGTTGTGCTTTCAGTCTCTGGTCGGGGCACATATGAGAAGCAACCGATGAATGTACAGATAAGTGGAACAACGAATCAATGTTCTCTCTCCTGCTATAAATCAATAAGAAAAACTTTTTGAAGAGGAGAGAGAAGGGAACCATTTCCCAGAGTCATCAGGAGGTGCTGCCGGCAGCTCACCGCTCCGGGAAGGCTGGCTGGGACCGGAGCAGGGAGAGCAGGTGCTGGGGAGGCTGCAGGAGCTGCTCTGCTTAGTGAGGAGGGAGCAAGGCTGTCCTGTTCCTGAGGTCAGAGGAGGAGGTGCGGGCACCAGAGGAAGGAGGGGAGGTGGGAACGCGCTATGCAGCAATCAGGTGTCACTTAATCTGTTTCTGGTTTCGTAAGTGAGGGATCAGGCCTTTCTGGAACCGGCCAAAGACTGCGTGTCCTTCAGGGCTTCCTCCCTGCTTGTCTGCCCTGGGATGGCACGGGGTGGGGGGACAGGACTGCGGTCAGGGAAGGAGCCTTCCTGACCTCAGCTTCTGCTAACTGCGACACCTTCCCGTGTGGCTCTGCGATCGCCGTAGCCAGAGGTGTTGCCGGGTCAGGGATATTCCTGAGAGCTGATGCGGCCTGTGGTTAGCAGCATGGGCCATGTTGTCAGAAAGCTTGAGTGTGGATCACGGTTCTGCTCATGTCTCAAAGCCTCCGCTTTCTCATCTGAACCAGGAAGGTTCTGACAGTGTGTGGTCTGGAGCATGTAAGCGTCTAGTCCACCGTGCGAGTAAGGAGAGCCCCTGACCTGACGGAGGAAGGCTCTCAGTGGCCTGGGTCCAGGGCGCTCTTCCCAGCCATTCTGCCCGCTGAGTGCGGGGCTGGGGCAGAGGGCCTGGGAGTGGAGGTGATCCGCCCAGTTCCTGGGCAGATCATCAGAGATGCTTGTTTTCTGGAAAGAAGCCAGGGCATGATCTGAGCGGAGAATCAACTCTTCCTGGATGGGTAAGAAAAGGCTTCTGGCCAAAACCGGTTTGGCTCAGTGGATAGAGCGTCAGCCTGCGGACTGAAAGGTCCCAGGTTCAATTCCGGTTAAGGGCATGTAACTTGGTTGCGGGCACATCCCCAGTGTGGGGTGTGCAGGAGGCAGCTGATGGGTGATTCTCTCTCATCGAAGTTTCTAATTCTCTATCCCTCTCTCTTTCTCTCTGTAAAAACTCAATAAAAAGAAATAAAAATAAATTAAAAATAATATTTTTTTTTAAAGAAAAGGCTCTTGGAGGCAAAGTGCCAAGCAGGTCAGCTGGGCTCGGGGCCGTGGGCTTGCCGTGGTGCTGTGTGCGTGGATGTGTCTTTATCATGAACAAGCTAAGTGCTATGGGTTGGCTGAATCACTGGGAAGGAGGACCTGCTTGCAAAACAAGCGCCACCCACACATTAAGCATCCATACTGTCCGTCCCGCACGGAGGGGTCAGCCATTGTTTCCACAGGTGTCTTCCACACACGACAGCTGTCACCGTGTTCCAGCAGCCACCACTGCCGTCCCTGCACCTGTGTCTGAGGGGGGGCTGCTTGCATCTCCAGGACTCGGCCCAGTGCCAGGCTGAGCCGGTCACTCCTGCTCCTAAAATGCCGACCCCAGCGCTGTGGGGCCGCACAGGCAGGACAGCTTGGGGCGGGACAAGGAGACCAGAACAGTAGTCTTGACTGGCTGGCTCTGAGAGTTGGACCAAACTACTTCTTCTCTTTAACCTTATAACTTGGAGGAGCCTCGTATACCTGAACTTGGCTTGCCCTGGCCACCGTCTCTCCTGGGCCAGCGGTGAGGATTTTGAGAGCATGGCTGGGCCCCTGCTTTCTGGGCTGTGACAGGGCGGAGCTGTGGCAACTCTTACCGGTTCATTCTTGCCAAGCTGAATCCGGTAGCGGGAGATGAAGTTGGGTTTTCCGGTTGTGTCAACCACCAGTAGGAGCCCGTTGATAGTCCAGAATGACAGGACAGGTAGGTAGGTGGCACCTAAGGTTGAAAAGCAGAGGGGACAATCAGGGCGACTTGAGGTTCTCATGGCATGTGCATTAGGACCACGCACTTGATGGTGACCCAGCCGGTGTTGTGAACAGTCCCTTGTCAGGAAGGTCTTGGTACTCCAAGCCAGCAGTCCTCCCTTTAGTGACAGACTAGCTGAGGGGAACTTTGACAGCCCACCTAAGTGTCTTTAGCCCTAGCTAGTTTGGCTCAGTGGATAGAGTGTCAGCGTGCAGACCGAAGGGTCCCAGATTTGATTCCAGTTAAGGGCACATGCCTGGGTTGCGGGCTTGGTCCAATGTTCAGGAGGCAGCCAATCAATGATTCCCTCTTATCACTGATGTTTCTATCTCTCTTCCTCCCCCTTCCTCTTTGAAATAGAGAGAGAGAGAGAGAGAGAGAGAGAGAGATGTCTTAACTTATTTTCTTAGTTTTAATACAACCAACTAGGTCAGTGGTCGGCAAACTCATTAGTCAACAAAGTCAAATATCAACAGTACAATGATTGAAATTTCTTTTGAGAGCCAAATTTTTTAAACTTAAACTTCTTTTAAGCCACTTCTTCAAAATAGACTTGCCCAGGCCGTGGTATTTTGTGGAAGAGCCATACTCAAGGGGCCAAAGAGCCACACGTGGCTCGCAAGCCGCAGTTTGCCGACCACAGGTCTAGGTGGTTAAAGATATTAAAAAAAAAAAAATATATATATATATATATATATATATATATAGTTTATTAATTTTTTACAGAGAGGAAGAGAGAGGGATAGAGAGTTAGAAACATCAATGAGAGAGAATCATCAATCAGCTGCCTCTTGCACACCCACTACTGGGGATGTGCCCGCAACCAAGAAACATGTCCTTGACCTGAATCGAACCTGGGACCTTTCAGTCCACAGGCCGATGCTCTATCCACTGAGCCAAACCGGTTTCGGCTGTTTTTAAAATTTTGATGTCTTGCCCAGGTGGCGTGGCTCAGTGGTTGAGTGTTGATCTATAAACCAGGAGGTCATGGTTTGATTCCCAGTCATAGTACATGCCTGGGTTGCAGGCTCGATCCCCAATAAGGGGCCGCACAGGAGGCAGCCGATCAATGAATCTCTATCATCATTGATGTTTCTCTCTCTCTCTCTCTCTCTCTCTCTCTCTCTCTCTTTCTCTCTCCCCCTGTTTTATATATATATATATATAAAACAAAAAAATTTGTGATGTCTTATAAATTCAACTCTATCTAATGTATGAGATTAATACTACTACATTTAAGAGTGGTTATTTCTTGGATATGGGAGAATGGGTGATTTTTCACCTTCTTTATGATTATTTGAATGGTCTGATTTTTGTTTTAGAAATGAACATGTATTTATCTTTAATAACCAAGTCTTTTACTTTGGAAAAAAATATATTGGGTTGGTGGTTGCCTTGTGGGCCATCCATCAAGGTGGCTGCCTCCTTGGAAATTCAAGGGCTCCTTGAGGAATACAGAATAAAAACCACAAGAGATGATCTTGAACTTACAAAACTCTAATGTTTACAATTTCAAGTATTTTCTGTTTGATGAGGTGATAGCTGGGTTCTCATCATTTTAACAGAAATACGTGAAATGTTTTCCCACCATTTTCCCTACAGACATTTGCAATCCACACTGCTCTTTTCAATGACTGCTTAAGATTCCTTTGCGGGGGGGAAAAAAAGATCCCTTTGAACCAGTCATATTAAACATTCAGCCCATTTTCATAGTTATCCTCCGAGCTGAAAACATGGAACATTTTATTTGTACTTCCGCTTTGTGACAACTGACACTTTTTTATCTCCCCTTCTAGGCTGTGGCAGAGGTTTTTGATGGGGTGGAGCACACTTTATCTTAAATATCTCCACATCTTCCGTGGAAGTTTGGCACAGAGGAACATTAATAAGTCTTCCTTGCATGGCCGAGGGCATTCACTATTGTAGATAACGCTGTTGTAAATCGCTGACATGGCTTTTTCTCAGCTTGTTTTGAGTCATTCACATTGTCAGTAAATATTTGAGTGACGCTTGCTCTCAGCCCCAAGCTAGATGGCACCGAGTACCAGAACACGGCTCACATGACTTCTAAAAGCAGGAGTATTGCTCTGAACTTGCCTTCATTTTCACACTCTTTATTTTCCCCATTTTGGGACAGACGGAGGCCTCCATTTCTCAAGTTCTTTTGTTATATACCTACGGGCATCCATTCCAGATTCGCCACAAGTTGAGCTCTCTTGGGGGTTACCACTGACTTAAACTTGAAGTCCTTCTTCCTTGTAATAATGAGCTGAGAAGCCCCAAAGTAGAGGGCAGACCGTGGGGAAAGGAACTAGGGTCAGGACCCCAAGCTCTCGGTGCCGGTGGTCTGGGAGCTCACCTGTCACGAAGAGGATCCACTCCTTCCCTTCGTATGTGAGCAGCAGCCTCTCCCACTGGGCTTGCCAGAAGTGGCCAGAAGCACCCCAGAATCTCTGAAGATGCCTTGGGGAGAAAACCAGGTTCCTGGGTGAAGGCTGGTGGGTGCTCTGACCGCAGACCCCCACCCCCTGCCCTCCGGTCTGACAGACTCACCATGTGACGGAGTTCCAGAAGGCCACCAGCAGGAGAAGGCCGGAGCCCAGGATGAAGGCGGTCCTCCGCATGGAGCCCCAGATGTGTCCCTCCTGCGGAGGACAGGACAGCGTCAGGCCCCGGCAAGCCCGCGCCCACGCCGCCGCCGCCGCGCGGGAGCTGGCAGGAGCGCCGAGCGATCGGGATCTCAGCCACGCCGGCTCCGGCTCCGCCGACCTTTCCCCAGTCTCTAGGGAAGGCTCATTCTTATCAAGAGCCCCCGCGCTGCAGGTGGGTGTGTTTGTGAAAACCAGAGCTCAGGGTTGTGGGGAAGGCGGGGAGGGGACCGACCTGACTCCGGAGAGACTGGCCCGCGGTTCTGTCACCCAGAGGAAGGCAGGAGCCTTCCGGCAGCGATGGGCTTTGTCACCTCCTCCAGGGAACAGATACCCATTATGCAGGCATCGGAGTCACCTGGGAGCCCTTTCAAAACGCCAGGCCCCTCCCAACCCAGTTACATAAGAGCCTTCAGGTTTTTCACCTCTTCCCGGCCAATGCCAAGGCCGGGATGGCCAGCACAGGAGGCCCTGCAGAACCCTCAGTGAGGGCCCCAGGACTGCACTGTGCGAGGCCCGTTTTCCCATCCCCGTCTCCGCCTGCCCCTGAAGAAAAGAGTAAGTGAACATCTGTTCTGGCTTTTAATAACCCCTCGTCCTTCCAGCAAGACTGGCCAAGGTTGCCAGCCGGACAGGACAGTGGGCAGGTCGAGGGGCAAAGCGCAGGCCACTGGCAGTCACGGGAGGTGCTTCTGTGACCACCAGGAGCCTAAGGCGGCAACAATGGCAAACCAGAGAAGGTGCCAGCCTCTGCCAGCCTCTATCCTCTGTCTCAGTGGATAGAGCGTCGGTCTGCGGACTGAAAGGTCCCAGGTTCGATTCCGGTCAGGGGCATGTACATTGGCTGCGGGCACATCCCCGGTAGGGTGTGTGCAAGAGGCAGCTGGTTAATGTTTCTCTCTCATCGACATTTCTAGCTCTCTATCTCTCTCCCTTCCTCTCTGTAAAAAATCAATAAAATATATTTAAAAAAAAAAAAAGAAGAAGAAGAAGAAGGTGCCAGCCTCGGAGAGGAGGAACTGGCGCCAGGGGAGGCAGCTGCTGCGGCCCTGTGGACAGGACTGCAGACATCCAAACCCCCCGAGCTTCTAAGCCAGAGGAGTCCGCCCAGAGCCTTCCTGGGGGGAACTAGGGAGCTCCTCGGGGCCTTAGCTCCAAGAACCAGAGGGACTTGTTCTTGTACTGAAGCAGGTGTTCACTGTAAGGGCACCCCGAGCTCCTCAGGCCGGCGGCCCTGGGCTTTTGCAATGGTTCCTCTTCTAGGACTCAAAGCGCCCTTCTCAAGAATGTTTCCAGACTCACTAGGAATTTTTCATTTGAGTTTAATCAAATGAAACCAAGTCGAACTGAAAACCTCAATTTCACGCTCAGGTTTAGGTATTTTTTCCAGGGACTGTGGTGGTTTCTCCCTTGCAGCCCGAGTGGAGAAACATGCCGCGCTGAAGCTAGCTGCGTCAGGAGCCGGTTCCCAGTTCCTGTTCCCAGGCCCCAGTGGGCCTCTCTGGTCCCCGGAGCAGTTCTGGAGAGGGTGGTGGCAAAGGCCTGAGACATGGGACATCCTAAGGGCCAAGGGACTATGGGAGGTAGCTATGGGGCTGGCTGGCTGTTCCCTGGGGCAGGCAGAGGGGCTTGGCTTATAAGGAAGCTTGCCGTCACGTGCTCTTGGCTCAGCTACTGAAATGAGCTCCTCTCCAATGTGTCAGTTCCCCCTAACCCTTGGGAGACTGTGAGCGAGTGCGGAGACGGAAAGGGCCACTGGCTGCCTCCCACCCGTGTGGTGGGAGCTGGCGTTTACCTGCTTCGGCTTCTCATGGCGCTGACGTCCAGCTTCCCCCTTCATCTGCAATAAGGAAGCACAGGTGAGTCTGGATGCACGGCACGTGCGGCCAAGGAAGTAGGGAATGGAAAAGTCGCGGGGCATGGCTAGCAGTGATTTTTAAAAAAATATATTTTACTGATTTTTTTTTTACAGAGAGGGAGAGGAATAGAGAGTTAGAAACATTGATGGGAGAGAAACATGGATCAGCTGCCTCCTGCACACCTCCTACTGGGGATGTGCCCCCAACCAAGGTACATGCCCTTGACCAGAATTGAACCTGGGACCTTTCAGTCCGCAGGCCGACACTCTATCCACTGAGCCAAACCTGTTAGGGCGGGCATAGCGAGCAGTGATTTTTAATGCTGGTGACTCATGAAAATCACCTGTGGAGTTTTAAAAAAGTTGCTCTGGCCCTGGCCGAATCGCTCAGTTGGTTAGAGCACTGTCCCAATATGCCAACGTTGCAGGTTGGATCACCAGCCAGGGCACATATAAGAATTAAACAATAGTTTAATTAAATAATAGTCTACGGCCATACCACTCTGACCACGCCCGATTTCGGAAGAATTAAGCGATGAATGCATAAATAAGCAGGACAACAAATTGATGTTTCTCATTCTCTCTCTCTCTCTTTTTCTTTCTCGCCATACTTCCTCTCTTTCTCAAATCAATAAGTTAAAAAAATTTTTTTACAAGGTTGCTCAGTAATATGAGGCAGGGGGCTGCCAATGGGACTTTGCCTGGAATAGGCTTTCTCAGATTATGGGATGTGCCAAATCCTTCTTTTTGAGTAGCTTCACTCTCTGCCTCAGTATGACTCTCATCCAGAGGGAATCTCTGTTCTTATCTGCCAGGGCTCTGTCTGACTCACTCGGACAGCTTTCTTAACCTCTGTGAAGTCAGGTCATCACACATGGGTGGGGTTTGTCACACTGAATAACATGGAAGCATTCTGTAAGCTGTTCAACTGTGGTTCAAAAGGTAGATATATTTATACACAGAAATCGTTAAGACAGTGAGCCTGAAATCTTATACTTTTCTCAAGGTCACACCTCAGTCGTAGCTATCACTTACTAGTTCTTGAGACTGTGGCCAAGTTGTCCTCTCTGAGCCTTAGTTTCCTTAGCTATGAAATGGGAATAACACCAGTGTTTTTCACTCATGTGATCTCTGCTGGGAGAGTTGTGAGAAATATCCACATGCGCCAAAACCGGTTTGGCTCAATGGATAGAGCGTCGGCTTGGGGACTGAAAGGTCCCAGGTTCGATTCCGGTCAAGGGCATGTACCTTGGTTGCGGGCACATCCCCAGTTGGGGGTGTGCAAGAGGCAGCTGATCGATGTTCTCTCTCATCGATGTTTCTAACTCTCTATCTCTCTCACTTCCTCTCTGTACAAAATCAATAAAATATATTTAAAAAAAAAAAAAAAAGAAATATCCACATGCACCCTGACCGGGGATCGAACCCACCACCTTTTGGTGTACCGGAAGACACTCCCAAAAACTGAGCCACCTGGTCAGGGCCTCACCTGGTAGAAGAGGGGCCTAGAAAATCACCTGGTCCCACCATGTGACCAGGATGAAAGAGCCTCGTCAAAGGAGGCTACAGATGGCAAAGCCAAGATCGGGGTCCCGCTTCCCATCTCTCTAAGGACATTTTATTCTTCGTGTTGATGGTTGTATCTGGTTTTATTTTGCATGTTCACCAGCTACAATCGCAGGAAACTGGATCCACATTTCTATGTCACTCAGGTGGAAGGAAGGAAGAACGGTGACTTACAAAGTTAGGACAGCAGAGGTGGTGCCAGGCAGGCTCTCCGTCTCCACGGGGAGCACATTATGGCAGGAGGGACACAGGCAGCTCAGAAAAAAAGGCCTGTCGGGGAGAAGTGCTGGGACATTGATACCCAGCCAGGGAGATAGCATAGATTTAAGAAAAGGCGTCTGAATGTTTGGCCAGTGTTGGCCCAACTCCACCTGAGTCCCCAACCCCAACCCAGCCCCAGCTGGGCCTGCTTTTGCCCCCTCCTCCAGCTCCCTCTGTGGCCCGGAAGACAGCAGAGGACCTGCTGTGGAGTTCTGCCTCCCTGGGAGTGCTCATGAAAACCCACGAAAGAACCTGGCCAGTGTGGCTTGGCTGGGCATTGTTCTGGGCATCAAGAAGTCACCAGTTCAATTCCTGGTCAGGGCACATGCCCAGGTTGCAGGCTCACTTCCCGGTATGGGGCATGCAGGAGGCAGCCGATCAATGATTCTCTCTCATCATTGAGGTTTCTCTCTCTTCCTCTCCCTCTCCCTCTGGTTCATGGGTCGACACTCAACCATTGAGCCCTAATGGCTAGGTCAAAGAATTCTCCTTTGAATAACGCTTTTTCTCCACCTTCACTGTCCAGAGCATTTCTGATTGGCCCGGATCCGGACTCTGGCCCACATGATCACGGTGGACAAGGCCCAATTCAGACAAACCACCCTTCACGCAGTGACAGGATCCTGGGATGAATAAGGCAGATCCCTTTCAATCCTGCCGTCTGCCTGCTGCCTACCGTCCCCGAAGCACAGTCATTAGGCAGAGGAAGGTGGTGCTAGGCACCTGTGGGGATAAGCCTGTCAGGTGTCTTCATAATAAGTTAGTAATATTAAAGGAAACACCATGTTGGGAAAGACATGGAGAATAAGCATCTGTAAACCATTTGCAGGTAGAACGTTCACACCAATTGAAGATATTTCCCTCCACAGGGCTTGCTAGGAGTAGGAACTGTTCTGTTGATCCTGTTGAGGTAAGCATCTTGTTTGGGAAGGGAGCTGAGGAGATTGTCGGTCTGTCTGTCTTAAGCTTCCAGAACTCTCTGGGCTATGTTAAACCCAAAGAACTTCATTTACAAGTCGGTCTCATTTCTAGCCTTTCCCAGTGTCTTATCACCACTATCTTGGAACAACTAAGACATGACCTTTGATCTGTTAGAAGCTCCTCTAATCCTCCTGCGGTTATTTATTCTCTGCAGAGAATTTACTCTGTGCAAGGAGCCCTGGAGCCAAAGTCCATATGGAGAGCCCTGGGCTAGAGGTCTGGGCCGGAGCTGAGAAAATGCGGAGTAGGGCAGGGGATCTGGCGCACCTCAGCAATCTTTAGAAAAGGACCACGTACAGGCTTCCTCTGTGCTCTGCGATACCTGGCTTCAAACCTCAACATGAAACCTCTCCCTCCCCGGCTGGATTTTACCTTACCCAAGGAATGTTTTAGTTAAACCATACTTTTTTTCTTTTTCTTTTTAAAGCAAGATATATGTAGAATCTGCCAGGTGAATATAAAAACTGCAATTGAAGATGTTCCTTATTCCATTATTTAGTTCCCCCAAACAAATTAATGCACATAAGTTTTCTCTTTGGAAGAAGTGGTATCCTTTCTCATTGAATGCAAAAAAAGAAATAGGCAATTCTCCACCAACACCCCCCCTTTTTTTTTAATGAGGAAAGAGAGAAATATTGATCTGTTATTCTGCTTATTTATGCATTCATTGGTTGCTTCTTCTTTTTAAAAAAATATATTTTATTGATTTTGTACAGAGAGGAAGGGAGAGAGATAGAGAGCTAGAAACATCGATGAGAGAGAGTCATCGATCAGCTGCCTCTTGCACACCCCCTACTGGGGATGTGCCCGCAACCAAGGTACATGCCCTTGACAGGAATTGAACCCGGGACCCTTCAGTTCCCAAGCCGATGCTCTATCCATTGAGCCAAACCGGTCCCGGCCATTGGTTGCTTCTTATATGTGCCCTGACATTAGATCAAACCCCCAGCCTTGGTGTAATGGCATTTAACCAACTGAGCCACCTGGCCAGAACCCACCATCACCCATTTTGCTTTAGCCTCCAGACAGCTCAGAGTGAAATTTACTCCAATTATACTTCAGATTTTTTTTCTATTTATATAACCTAACTAGAGGTCCAATGCACAAAATTTGTATAAGAGTAGGCCTTCCTTCCCTCACCCCGAACACTCCCCCCACTCCGGCTGCCAGCACCGGCTTCCCTCTGGCACCCTGGACGCAGGCTTCCCTCATAGCCCTGGGCTTCATCCAGAAGGTCGTTTCATTGGGAAGTACATCTGGTCTAATTAGCATATTATGCTTCTATTATTATAGATTATATAAAATATGATGATGTGTGTGCAAAGCTGTTCATTGTGAAATTGTTTTTAATGGCTAGAGATTGGAAACAACTTAAATCCCATCAAGAAAGGATTGGTTAAATAAGTTAGAGTACATCCAGTAATGATGCATTCTGCAGCCATGGAAGAAATAAGGCAGTTTTGGGTGTACTCTTCAGAAATATTAAGTGAAAAAAGCAATGTGTAGAATGCGTGCAACAGTGCATGAGTATATTTGCATGCTGTTTACATCTGCATAAAATAACATACGTACTATTAGACTAGTCCTGGAAGAGTATCTGAGACTGGTAGCAATGGTGGCTTCCGGTGAGGTGAACTGGGCAGCTAAGAGGGCAGAAGCAAGGCTGTCTTTTTACCATGTGCCATTTTTACCATTTTTTCTGTTTTGGATTCTGTGCCATGAGTATATTTTACCTGCTCAGAAAATTACGGAAACATTTAAACACTTTAAATGACTGTAGTGCCCATTCACAGGAAACATTTTACTGAAGAGTCATACAGTAATTTGCGCTCCCTCTACTCTAAATCAAGGATAATTTCAATTCCTGAAGGCCATTGAGAAGTCTTTGTCTCCCTTGAAATGGTATGACAGTTTTCCTGTGTTCATTTTTTCAGGGTAAAAGGATCCCCGGATTTCATTAGCCTGTGGAAGGTAATGATGACGATTAAGAGCCAATGCAATAGTTTTCTTCTTCTTCCTTCTATTCTTTCCCCTCCCCCTGCTTTCTTTTCGTTAACAATTTTAAGTTGTCTGAAAGCCAAGCATTAGCAGTAAAGCTCTCTACAGAGCCTAACCCCTTCCCACCCCCACAAAGCAATATGAAAGATTTCCAATCAGTTTTTATTTATTTGCCT